CTTTGCCAAAGGTGTTTCAAAAATGTCTTCCCTAGTCTGTCTATCCTAACGATACAGTTGGCGCCCGCAGTTAAGAAATATTTTGTTCAGAAATTGAGGCTCACTCTTTCAACGAAAAATATGAAAATTATGTATCTCGTTTGCGCACGTTCACAATCACGGCGAGAGTCGTGCCTTGTTCGTCGACGCCAATGAGGACACTAGTCCCTGTCAGAGACAGAGGCCGGTGCTCTGGCAGTATTCTCCCACTGCCAAGGGTGGCTATTTCCTTTCGTGAGATGTGACGAGGAGAGAGGTACAAAAAGAGAGAGTGACCAGAGGGGCGAGAGGGGCGAGCCGGAGGCTCCCCCATCTCTTCCCTCGGCAAGCGGCCATGGACTTCGGAAGAGACAAATCTCCTCGGTGCTTTACTTGCCACTTCTCCCGATGGCAAGTTACCCCGAGGAATCATATCTTCCTATACTTTGTATGTGCACAAATGGTTGGTTATACATTCCGACATGTGTCCTCCACATTAGGGTTAAAAAACATAGCTCAATCTGGGTCACACAATAAGAAATGTCTCAATAAGAAACACAGCGGCGACCGCTGGCCTACTACATACGAAACGAGGGTTTACGGGGGAGTGTATCGATCAAAAAAATCGATCAAGCCCTACGTCCAAACTCTTCTCCGTGCTGGGCACTACCTCGTGGTGTTTTCTTGGTGTGCTTGCCCAATCGAACGCAAACAGACTGCACGAGCGTTCGCTCCCCCACCAGGGGACGCTTCAGCTCTATCCCCTTGAAGTCGAATTCCGACACGCCTCCACCAAACACCGCTTTCCTTCAGAACGCTACATTTTACGGGGGAGTGTATCGAGTAAGAAACAAACCCCACAGCTCTCTCGCTATTTCCCCCTCCACCGACCCCCCCCTCCTATAGTGCATTTTATTATTATTATTAGTTTTTTTTTTTAAGCGGACGAGGGGGAGTGTTTTTTTTGCGGCGCCTCCTCCGCCCCCCTGCGGGTGCTGCCACGCTCTCTGCTGGCGGTAAAGCTTTGGCACAGCACACCAGACAGGCTGCGAACCACGACATGCTGTCTGCTGTACACGGCTTTGATGGTTCTCTCCGCCAGCTCTCATGAGGGCTTGACCAAGCTGGTCACCCTCAGAGATCAACAAGAACTGTCGACGAGTTAGCTCGGGGACATCAAGAAGCACTTTCTAAACAACGAGCCTCTGTCTCACGATTTCTGGAAAGGCGTTGAAGAGCTGCGGAGTTTGAGGTCTTCCGATATCCTTACTTTGGAGGAGCATGTGCAGCATCTCAACGAACATGTGGCGTCCCGCCTCAAGAAAAGACCCCGGTGCCAACCCCTCCTGAATCGGCTGCTGTTTCAAGCGCACAGCACTTCGTAGGGCAGAAGCGAAACGCATCATCGTCTTCAACAGCGCGATGATGAGTGCGACGGTGATATTATTGTATTTGGCGTTCATTCGGAGCACAGAAGAATTACCCTTGCGGAAGAAAGCTTCAAGCCGCTACCCTGGTCATCCTGTGGGAGTCTCTCGTTGTGGAGCTACAGCGGGGAGCAGAAGCTACAGCAGAGCCCACCGCCCGACGCGATACCGCCCTGAAACAGTTTGAGCAGAAATAGCCAATCTGGGCAAATCTAGCAACTTGTCTAGCTCCTCGCTGCAGCANAATAAATAAGAAACTGAACGACATACATACGCTGAGTTTATACATCGTAGCCCACATTAAGAATTCGAGGCTGGACCTGAAGTAAGCGTTTCTAAACTGTGGGCGCCAACTGTATCCCTCCCCGCCTTTTCAAACCACCTCCTATGCCCCAGTACAGCTACCGTCCTTTCTCTATTCCATGCCTCAAACATCTCCCTGTACGTCCCATCTATTTTTCCCAGCTCAGTCACGTACACTTCCCTCTCCTTCTTGTACAACGGACATTCCGCGACTACATGAACACGGTCTTCGCATTCGAAGCCGCAATCACATTTGAACTCGTCGTCTTCCTCGTCTACCGTCCTATGTCTTCGTCGACGTTCTCGAAGGCCTATGTCCCCGGTCCTGAATTTGACCTCAAGCTTTGTTCCTGCATCCATTGGTCCATGTAGGTAGTCCTTGAACCCTATTCCTTCCTTCAACATTCCGTACACTTCTAGACCCTCCTTATCCTTGGATTCTTTCCTTAGATTTTGTTCTTCTCTCTCGGCGCAAGCAACAGATATCTTCTCCTTGAACCCCTGTAGA